TGAGAGGAAGTTACCGAGGTAGCAAAAGAGCTACTGGGAAGCAGTGTGACAAATAATTCCTGGAGCTCACACAGGTCTGGTAAGAAGGACCTAATAATAGAGAATTCAGAAAAGATCCACACAAATATGGCCACTTTGCTTTCAATAAAGACACAAAGGTAATTCATTAGGGAAAGAATCATCTTTTCAAGAAATTAAATCCAAACAATGGCCTGGTTCACATCATGAAACTCAGCCCTCACCTCATACCATATACAAAAATTAACTTGAAATATATCATTGCCTTAAATATATGAACAAAAAGTTTTTTAAAAATCTAAAAGAAAACATAAGAGAAAAGTCTTTGACATTTTGGGTTAGGCAAAATTTTCTTAAATATGACATTTAAAGCATAATCTATGAAAATGAAAAGATGTGAAATTATAATGCACCGAAATTTAAAAATTTGGCTCTTCACAAGGTACTGTTAAGAAAATGAAACGGCAAGCCTGAGATATGACTCTGTTATAGTCAAAGGAGCAAGTTAACCTTCATTCTCAAATGACACTACGGCCGCCACATTTTCTTTCCCTCAGAATTTTGTATCTATTGCTTTATTGTCTTTTTGCTCTGAATGTTGCTGTGGAAAAACCTAAGGCCAGTCTTATTTTTTCTCTCTGATGTGACTTACCCTGACAGTATGGTTACAACAGTCATTATTTAACTAATATGTATATTGTAGCAGTCATTTAACTAATACATATATATATATGTATGTATTGTTTGGTTAAATAGTTGCAAATCAAATATCTAATAATGACATAGGTAAAACATGGAGCTATAGAAAAAACAGCTTTCTCATACATAGATGGTACTATTACGAATTGGAGGCAGGTTTGAAGACCAGTTTGCATTTGGTATGATAAATCTAAGACTATCTGTCTGAACCAAAATTTCTTCTTGTGGGATTTATCCAAAGGCTATAATAAATAATCTGTATTCATGCAAATGTATATGAGCAAAAACTTTAATAATATCCCAAATGGCCAAAGTAAATTATTGTTAGATAAACAATAGTACATCTATTAAATGGAGCACCATGAAGTGACATAAAGTGCTGTAAACATTTATAAACATCGATTAAATTGACTTCAAAGAAAATATCAGTAATATCCCAAAAGTAGATATCTGAAGGTTCTTTGATATATAAATTCCAGAAAACTGCTGGGTGCAGTGTATCACACTTGTAATCCCAGCACTATGGGAGACTGAGGTGAGAGGATTGCTTGAGTTCAGGAGTTCAAGATCAGCCTGGGCAACATAGTGAGAAATTGTCTCTACAAAAAAAAAAAAAAAATCAAAAAATTAGCTGGGCATGTTGGCACATGCCTGTAGTCCCAGCTATTCAGGAGACTGAGGCGAGAGGATCACCTGAGCCCAGAGGTTGAGGCTGTAGTGACCCGTGATCCTTCTGCTGCACTCCAGCCTGATGGGTGACTGATGAGATTTCGACTTCAAAAAACAAATTACAGAAAACTAGAAACAAATAACAAAAGTGGAACTAATGCTATCATATAACTAATTTACAGACGTTGTCCTCAACAACAGCAAAGTAAAAATTGTAATTTCAAGATGTTAAATGTCAATTTACAGACTATATGCAAAAACTTACAGGTCCTGGCTAAAGTTATATTTAAAGGAAAATTTGTGGTTTAAAATACTTTCACTCTTAATACAAAAACAAAATAATTAAGGAAATACAGTATTTGTTTCAGAAAATTAGAAACGGAAAAACAAAGAACAGCAACAGAACAATGGCAAAGAAAATTTCATACTAGAAAAAAAGAACAGGAAAATGAAACAGATGTGAATATGCAGAAAGGAGCATAGAAGAAAAGAGAAATCTCTAGTTCGAGCAACTTCCTGCGTTCTCGTTGTCACCTCACCTTGGGCACTGTGTGATAACTCCATATTCTTATAGAAGGTACTGTTTTTCTGTTTTAAGCAAACATGAATTGGTTTTTATATGAGTTGGACTATCAAATCTAGAAGGCATAAAGAATAAAACTAAATATTTGATGACAGAGACATTTTTAACGTGTCAGCAAAATAATCCAGACATATGTAAAAAAATGTATAAATGTGATTGAAATACAAACAACAAAATACATACTTATATACATATACACATGCCATGCAGGGGACAATGACTTAATCTATTACAAATTCATAAGTAAAGCAAAAACACCTCTATATAATAAATCAACATTGTAAACAGAAACCCATGCCAATAAAAATACACATTGGCAATAAGCATATTAAAATACGTTAATCCTCACCGGCTTTTTAGAAAAAGCAATGCCAACAAACTAGTCCTTGTCTCTCCTCTTGCAAAAGATTAACAATGGTACCAACACTTTGTGAGGGGGAAGCTAGGGAATTGAGAACCTATCTAGTGCAAAGTGCTGTTGGTAGGAACTTAAACTAGGACAAACTTCCTGCTGCTGTGAACATATTTGCTGACTCAATTTTCCATCTAAGGATTCATCCTAAGGAGACATCTAGAAAGGATAACAAAATTGAACATATAAAGAGTATCAGCACATCATGAGTACCACAGTGAAAAACTGGAAACAATTTCAATGTCCACCAAAAGGGATTTATGTAGATAGCGATTACTTTGTACAATGGTAAACACGGTTTACAGACATGAAAGGAGTATCTATCATGGCAAATTGTTGAGACTTTTTAAAAAGCAGATTATAAAATAGAACACGGAGTGGGACTTAATTTTAATATAAATGTGTGTATGGTTTGAATGTTTTTCTCCTCTGATTCATGTTGGTTTCAAAGTAGCAGTAGGGAAAGGTGGAGTCTTTTAAGAGGCAATTGGGTCATTAAGTGCATGGATTAATCAGTTTATGGACTAATGGATTCATGTATTAACGGGGTATCTCAGGAATGGGACTGGTGACTTTGTAACAAAAGAAAGCAAAACCTGAGCTAGTATGGTCAGTTCACTTGCCATGTGATGCCCTGTGTCACCTCAGGACTCTGCAGCGAGTTCCCACCAGCAAGAAGGCTCTCACCAGTGGTGCCCCCTTGACCTTGGACTTTCCAGCCCCCAGAACTGCAAAAAATAAATTCCTCTTCTTAATAAATTATCCAGTCTCAGGTGTTCAGTTACAGCAACAGAAAATGGACTAACACATAGGGCTTCAAACTATGGTATGAGAGTCTTTGCCCAACCACGAACAGAATTGTGTTACCTAGGGTGAATTACTTATTATATTTACTTTCTTCTTTATTCTTGTCAGTTCCATTTGAATAGTCTTTTTGTAAAGAGCACATATAATGTTGGTATCATGATACAAAATTACTTTCAGACTGAAAAAGGGACCAGAAGGAAGTAACCACTGAAATTCTGTTCCACCCCTTACAAATGTGGCCAAAAGAAATAGACTTGAGTGGGAAAAAAATTAGTTGTCACAATAATATACAAAGCAGTGAGGGTGTAATAAAGTGTACACACTCACTGTATTAAAGATGTGGTGCGTAAATTGGTACTTTTTCTAATAAACGACTGTGCAATGCATAGTGACAGTTTCAGAAGAAGTTCACATACTTTGACTCACTTGCAGAAGTCTAAGGAAGGAAGGAAGCAAAGATATGGTCAAAGTTGTATGCGTGAGAATGTGCATGAGTTCTTTCTCAATCATAATTTAAAACCGGAAACAATATAAATGTCCACCACAGCAAAGTACATGTGTACACATCTCGAGTAACTCATTCAACAAATGTTTGCTAATTGTCTCTTCTGTGCCAGGCTCTTTGATAGCCCCTGGGATCTGTAGTACACAAAACAAACATGGCTGCCTCCTAGAGCACGTCATCTAGTTACTCTAATTGGAAAGACAGTCCGCTAATTCCACAAATAAGTTACAGGCTAACAAAGAAAAACACAAAATGCTAATATGCATAAACAATATATCTTTCTAATGAAAGAATACAATAAAAAAGCAATGCAATCTAGGCGCAGTGGCTCACACCTCTAGTCCCAGCACTTTTGGAAGGCAGAGGTGAGAGGATTGCCTGAGTCCAGGGGTTCAAGACCAGCCAGGGCAACTTGGCAAGACCTTGTCTCTACAATAAAAAAAAAAAAGAAGAATTAAAAAATTAGCCGGGCATGGCACGTGCCTGTAGTTCAGGCTTCTTGGAATGCTGTGGCGGAAGGATCACCTGAACCCAGCAGGCAGAAGCTGTGGTAGCTATGAGTAAGACTTGGCCTCAAAAAAAAAGCAAAACATGTTGTGAACATCTATATATCATCTCTAGAAATTCTCTGTTAGCCAAATGGGAAAGTGTTTCTGAGAGCCAGAGATGACCATTTTAAAACTATTAGCCACTCAACAGAGAGGATACAAGGCATAAAGACTAAAAGCAAGAATGTTTAGAACTCCTTCTGACAGAGTACTAAAAAGCAAACAAATGAAACCTCTCAAGTTATAATTTAAATAATGTACAAGAATGATCCAATTTGAGAAAGGAAATTTAAAAGGCACACCTCTTCAACACAGTCTAAAAATAGGGAGAAGTAAAATATAAGGAGGTGCAAACGTTTCTCTTTCCACACCATAGTACCTTTGACAAAGGTTCACCTTCCTTAGGGTTTCTTCTTAGAACAGTGGAAAGGGTCAAATCACTGACCAGTGAAACAAGTCCTGAAGGAGCTGGTGCTTAATGTTGTTGGCTCTTAATGTCAGCAGCACTTTGAAGATACAGATCCTCACTCCCTTATTATTTAGGAATTCTAGTCCTGTCCTGACAGGGTAGGAGAGATTTGCTTCCATGGCATTTGACACAGGATTATAAATTAATTGTGTGATTGAGGAAGTCCTTGGGAAGACCATGCCTACCCTTAGCCTCGTTCATGCTGGTTGGCTGTAACCATAGCAATCCCTTACTCCAGACCAAAGTTCAGCGACTGTAAATCTTTATGAGCATGCTTATTGTTCAGTGTTCATTAACATAACCCTTCCTTACGAAGGGTGAGGTTTTATATTTTACAACAAGTTAAGACTCCGTTTCTAAATACTGGACTCTGACTGATAAAGTCCAAAAATATTATAAGAAGATATTTGCTCTTTTGGCCCTAGCAAACTTATTTTCTTGCGAAAATGCCTACAACAAAGAAAACACTGATGTTCTTATCGAGCTTTTTTACAAGCCTGGGGTCTTTCGTGGTAATTTGCTCTATTCTTGGGACACAAGCATGGATCACAAGTACAATTGCCGTTACAGACTCTGCTTCAAACGGGAGTGTTTTCCTCACTTATGGGCTTTTTCGTGGTGAGAGTACTCAAGAATTGAGCCATGGACTTGCAGAATCAGACAAAAACTTTGCAGGTAAATGATAAGCTAATTTGAATGGGTATTATGAGACTGCATTAAGATTCACATCATTCTATATTTGGGCCAAAGAACCATTCAAAAATAATTTCTTTGTAAGCTTTGTTTTAATCTGAAGATATGAACCTTACTCATAATTTTGAAAATTTTCCATATCTTTATTTCAGCTTCCTCAGTTCTGGTTGTGTCTATCAATGCAACCATCTAAGTCATTCTAGCAGGGACGGTGTTTAAATGATCCAACCAAGTTTACTGACAAGTGAATAATTAAGTAAAAATATATAACTGCAATATGGTATTAAATAGCCTATAGTAACAACATCTTTAGGTGTATTGACTGTGGGTTTTTAGTTGGAGACACAACCTCTGATTAGAACCTCATAGGTGGCATCTATGAGGGAACAAATGGAATGGAAAACATGGGCAATTTCTATTTCTATTTCTCAAGTTCATTTCTTTAACTCACTTGAATGTACCCCCAGAATATTTCATTCTTGGAAATTATATTAAGTTTCCATTAATCTATTAATTGTATATTTCATAGGTATTCCTGAAGTTTTTTCTTCTGATTTCTTGGGTAATAATGCCTTCTTTGAATGGAAGGAAAATAAAAAATTCATTGAGAATGGTAAGGCGATTTAGCTACTTATTTGACTTTGGACATTTGACTTCTACCACTATGTTTTATAAATTTAAAAACAACAATATATAAATTTTGTAACACTTTCAATGGGCTTTGTTTTGAACAATGTTGTATACAGGTATTATACAGACATTATCAGTTATCATGCAGTTATTGGCTTTTGACTATATATATATATATATATATATATATATATATGTATATTTTCTACCTTCCACAAATGTAATATTTAGTCTTTGTATAATACGTAAAGATAGAAGTTTGAACCATAGACACTAGTTCTAGGTTCTAGCTCTAGTTTGTGTATGACTTTGTTAATAAAATGATTTCCTTAAATCCAAAGCAACACGATTACATTTCCCAGTTATAAATTTGCTTTTTAGATGTCAGCAAAAACATTGTCTCCCTTGGCATTTCCGTAGCCTTTCAGTGACACTTCTGCTGTCAGCCTCAGCTTCCCATAAGGATGAGGAACGTCTGCTTCACAGCAACTAGAAACTAAGACTTGCAAAGACTTGGTCATACTTTCGGTTATGTGAATAACATTTTCGAAACCAAAAAGTATACTTGTTTCTGAATCCTCAGACACATTTTTAAAATTTAAAGTGAGAGCCATAACCTACAACCCTTTTTGGTCTTCATAGGGTGTCTATTTGGTACTACTTGATCCCAATTTGAAATAAATGGCTTCGAAAGAAGCCCTGATTATCTCTACTCAGCAGGGGCCAGGCTGGGGTCAGACCTGACTCTAAAGCCCTGTGTGAGTGCTGGTGTGTGTTGTGATGTCAGGGGAACAGAGATGGAGTGCTCAGGGAGAGCCCCAAAGGAGGCCAGGGCCAAGTGGGCACAGCAGCCAATGGGGGAACACAAGGGAGGCTGAACACTCGCTTTCCCTTTGCCTATTTTCTAACCTGCCCAGCCTCCTGGCACTGAAGTTGAGCCACCATACAATTAATGAAGACGCTGCACTATTGCTCTAGTTGACATCTAAGGCCCTCCTTGGAGTCCCAGGGGTCTTCCTTGCTGATAATTGCAGTCCATAATCAATTTATAACATTCCCAAGTTATACATTTGTCTTTTAGATATGCCTGGGTGCTGTAAAAAAGAAGTCCTTCTTTTAACTTTGGGTTTTGAGAAATATACTCAAGGTCCAAAGGGCAAATGCTAAACTTGGAACATCTGCAAGCAGTTATCCTAGGAAAAAGTCATGTTACTAGAGTATCTGTCTTGTGGTATTCAACTGCTAAGGATCCAGGGATGCTTTCGGTATTTACAGTGAAACATAGATACTCTCCTACCAGTCTCTCATGACCACACAGGACTTATTTCAAATCAGAAACCATTTTTTGGTAGTACTATAAAATCTGTATAAATGCTGCTTTCTTGCCAAGCAATGGTAGATTGACTGTTCCAATTGAGAAGTTAACAGTGTCAGCTTTTGACCTGTAGGGTGAGGTCACATAGAAAATCCCCCAAGGGTAATAAATATTGCAAAATGAGATATTTCTGCATAGGATCTATCACACTGTACCAGTTTTGACCGTAGATTTTGAAGTGAAAGAGCAGGATGAAGTGATGATGGCTGATTTCAACAAGCCAAAATAATGACCACCAGTCAGACCTGGTAAGGAAATTCTCTAGTGAGCGACTGGATGGTGGCTCGGGTTGACTAGATGCATCCTAGTTTGTACAACATCCAGATGAAAAGTGACAGGTCCTGTATGTGCAGCCGTGAACAGATTGTCTTTGTTACTCCCAGAGTTCTAGAGATTTCATTTCTGTTCAAGAAAACCTTCCCTGGGCAGCTGCTGTGGGGGGGGCGGGAGTTAGGGGAAAGGGTTGGGTGTTGAAAGGAATTGCAGTGTTTCCTGGCCCTGAAGGATCACCACTTCCTGTGAGAGAAAGACCCTCCATCAGTTAACAAAACACCCTGCACTAATTGTAGGGGCCTGGTGTGCACATTCTTCACAAAAGTAGGGGTGGGGTAGGGTGGGGAGCACAGGTCTGCACAGCCTCCTGGGAGCACAGAAACTTGAACAATGAGTTGATAGGAAGATGCAAGCTCATGCCGTGACCGTTCACCTCCTCCTTGGTTTTGGATCCTGGGTGCTGTAAAAAAAAAAAAACCGCCTTCCTTTAACTTTGTGCTTTGAGAAATGTCGTCAGGGTCCAAGGGGCATAAAGTGTGATATTTTCTCACATTGGCAAAAGTGGCAAAATGAGTCATTCACGTTAGGATGTGGCGTTCCTGTGAACATCATTTCAAATATTACTCAGCCTATGCACTGATCAGGATGTAAATTTTTACAGAATCATTTTAATAGAAAATGATGTTAGGAAAAATGTTTCTCTTCATGCGGCACTGGGTCTCTGTGTCCCTGGTCCCAAGAGCAACCTGGTTTGTAGGGGTGTGGGATTTTGAGCAGTCATGTTGCCTACAGCCAAAGATAGAATCACCTGGGATGCTAGGAAAAAAATCCCTGCACTTGACTCTCCCTGGACTAATGGAGTAAGAATCTCGGCCATGAGGCCCTGACTTGCTTGTTTTTAAGAATCTTTCCAGGTGATTCTGATACAAAGTGCTTTAGACTCAGGATTGACAACCACCAGCTTCCTCCAAGGCCAGGTGCTAGACTGATATGTATCGTAGCACTGAGTACTATTTTTAAGTCCCTTGGATGTGGCCTACTTGAAGTTAAACTAATAGATTGGAGAAAGCTCTGGATGAAACCTTGCAATTGAACCAGGGCAGGCTGAAAGAAAGCCTCAGAACACGGCGGGCCTTTGAGCGCTGCTTTGAGTCAATGATCTACTACAGCTAGCAGGGATTTTTCCCCCAATTGGCTTTCCCTGTGCCTGCCAGTTTCTTCTCTGCATCGACCCCTGTTTGTTCTCAGGGAACTCAGCATTGCACATTAGCCCAAGCTAAAAATAATTAGGAAACTAAATCTGCTGCAGAAACTAATTAACTGCAAAGAGAAGAACGAATGAAGTTTATTTCTCCAGAATTCACAAAGCCCTCGCTCCATCTACATAGCATATTTTCCTGGAGAGGACCTATGTACCATATGACCCCAGACCACACTGGGAGGTGGGGTGTATAGAGGGCAAAACGAATGCCCCCAGGGCTCAGATTGCTCTTTTCCCCAGGAGAACCCAGGCAACTTCTGAGAGGCAGGGGACACCAGCTGGGGCTTTCTGGGAGAGCTGTTGGTATAATGCACTCCTCCAGTGGAGTACTGGGGCCCACGAATCCAGGAGTTGACCTGGTCAGGCTCCCTGGTGACCAGATGCTTGAGGAGAATGTGGAGGCAGTTCCCATTCAGTCATAAAACCTCTGGCTCTCCCTCAAGGTCCGAGGACGTAAAGAAAACCAGAACTCCAAGGGCAGACAGCCAGGAAGACCTGAAGAGGTTGCATTTCCCTGTGGGGTCAGCCGGATGTCCGATGACTCTTGCATCACCCACCCCCTGGCAGTACCATTTCTGCCTCTCAGCTGCCGGCCCGTGGGCTAGGCCCTCCTCTCTGCAGCCCCGTTGTTTTGGGCTCTTTCCCAGAAATGCCAGAATCAGGGCAATTAGCTCCAATTGTGAGGTGGCATTCCTGATTCAGACACTTGCCCCCTGAAAGGAAAAAAAAAAATCAAAAGGAACAGAATGCATTTGCTAATTTTGTAGGCAGAGAGCAGCTGTCAGATGCTATGGAGGTTTATTGTCATTTCATTCTTGCTAACTTACACCGAATTTTCAGCTTCCATTGTCTGAGTTCTGAGCCAGGAACTGGAGATACAGCTGTCATACCTATGTGGCAGGGATTTCAGAAAGCTGGAGGATAATTTTAAAATGCAGCCGTTGAAAGCAAGATAAATTGTCACCTCGATACATAGAAAAGTATGTCAACAGACTCCAAATTGACTCCCTTTTGAAAAATCGCATCCAGCAGATGTTACGAAAAGTAAAAAAACAAAGCTAATCTCGATGGTCACTTTCTAATTTACTCTCCAAAAGTGGAATGTAAACTATTTACAAGTAAACATCCATGAACAGCTTTTACTAAGTGAGTAAAGCAGAAAAACACCCCAAGCCACTTCAGGGTGCCTTGGACATAAGTTTCTTTTCCCACACTGAAGTTTCTATTTTCTACTTAAGTGACCAACTTGAGTCTTGGTTACCAAACTTTGCTAGGCAGTGAGTTCATTTAGTCCCCTGCAAACTTCCTACGAGATTCCAGAGTTTCCCCTTTAGTGCCTGGGAGGAACGGGTGAGCGTGGAACGGAAAGTCATTCCTTCTTCTGGTGACTAAGCCGCAAAACATCTGCAGCCTCCGACCTGGACCTCTGAACAGGTGTGTCCTACTTGCTGTGGGTATTTTTTTGTTCTCCCCTCCGGTGTCAGCTTCCATTAGTTTCAAAACAGGTGTGTGACAAATTACGGCAATATGAATCCCCTAACTTTTGTATCTCCACAGTAAGTGGGAGAAAAAGGTAAGCTATTTTTTCCACCTGAGGTCAGGGACAAGACGTCCCAGCTTACTCAGAGGGTTGGAGCGTCAGGCCTCGTCCATCCCCACCTCAGCAGCAGGTGGTGGCTGGCATGACCCTTGCCCTATTAGACTTCTTACCCGGCATGCATAGCAAAGAGGACCATGCAGAAAACCTAACTACGCTCTATGGGTCATTAACAGAAAATGCAACACAGTCCAGTCACCACTGAGTACAAGAACCCGGGTGAACTGAACTTGGCTCCCAGTCCGCAGTTCCTCTTGAAGAGCAGAATTTTCTTTAGCCCGGATGGTGAAGTCATTATCCACACGCCACTGAGCTAATCATTTCCCCCTCCTCGGTCCACTCCCTTCTCCCAGAGGTTTTCATGCTATATATGGCCGTGTGGACAGATGTGAGGCAAGACGCACATTTCTCTTCTCCCGCCCTTTTCTCTTTTCTTTACTTTCTCTTCCTCTCAACCAGTGCCCTCGCATCACCTGTCACTCCTGCTTCATGGACCTCCCTCACTCCCGGACTAGGATGCTTGCAGTTATGGGCTTCACCACAAGACCAGCGCCACTCAGGTTGCCAGCTCTCTCTGGATGAGGGCGTTTACCACAAGATCCCTTGGTCCCCAGCCCTCGAGGCTGTGTCTCAGATGCCCAGCTGCAGGCTTGCTGGTCACATCTCTTCCATGCCCATTCTCTGTTTGATGGGAGGAAACTTCCTCAGGGAGCACCGCTATTTGAAAAGAAAAATGGTGGCCAAATAGAATCAAGATGTTCAAAAATGGAGTGAAGACTGTCCAAGGGGAGTGTTGGATCTCCTTGGGAGTCCTGTGTCTACCTGGCCAAGGACCCTGAGAGACAGAGTCAGAATAAAGTGTGTACAGGGGGCCAGTCTGGCAGGGGTTTGGAAGTCATGCCCGACAGGGAATATTCCAGAGACATGGGCCGTTAATCATGCCAGGGTGAAAGATTTGGAAAGGCTGCCGGGAGCAAGTGAAGTCTGTGTGGCCCCAAAGGAGATTTAGGACCTGTGGGTGCAGGTGGTAGAGATGCTTCCACCTTTCGTACCTGGAAGGAGCTGGTAAGTGTGGAATGGGAAGTCATTCTTCCTTCTGGTGACTAAGCAGCAAAACATCTGCAGCCTCCGGCCTGGACCTCTGAACAGGTGTGTCCTACTTGCTGTGGGTTTTTAAATAATTGAGGCGAGGCAGGGAGGGAAAAGACACATTTGAGGAGGGGACTTGGTGGCTCCTCCCAGGGGTACGCACAGAACCCTGGGTCTCTTAGACCCCACGTCCTGTCCTTTGAAACGCTGTGGTTCTGGACCTGCGAGGGGAATGCTGAGGTTGTATCTCCCAGGCCTGGGACCAAGAAATCCTCCCTGGCCTCTCTGCTTTCTGTTCTTTCAAGCCGCTCTGGGGTAAGGATGTGAACATTTCCAGGGTTTTCTCCTGGGGACCTGAGACATAGGAACAGAAAGAGCCTTTCAATTACTGTTATTCACCGGTTACGGTTTTATACCCCGCAGTTGCTGGTGATATTGCCGTTCTATGGCCATTGACTCTGAAATGCTCCCAGTTACTTTTTCCTTATATCCTTGTGACTTTTAGAAGCTTTCTGTAAATATTCTTTAATGCACTGGCCTCCTCTTCGGCCTCGCACACACTGACAGCCCTTGAGGGTATGTTGTACACGCATGACCGGGCTTCCACAGTAAGTGCATGCCTGTGGTGTCTCGACAAAGGAGTGGCAGAGGGGACAGCTGGTAGTGGTCAAAAGTTGGAGAAGGACAAAGACAGGAGCTGAGGAACACAAACCAGGGCACCTTCATTTCATTCCGTGTGAGTGCAGTTCCTGTCTGGAGTGCCTCTGCTCCTAATAAATAGGCACATGTTATACAACGCTGTCAGGATTCAGAAGTGCTCACCTTGGAAAGAAGTCTGAAGTCCACCCAAGGACCAAATTCTCAGCCACCTCCCACAGTGGAGTCCCATGGGCACTGCGTCCTCTTTGGCTCCAGGGAGGTGGAGTCTGGAACTAGGGGCCACACCTTGTTTGGCACCAACAGAAGCCATTTTCTGATCCCCACGGCCAGCCCAGGGCTTCCATGTCTCAGGTCGCTTCTGTTAGCCCTGTCTCTCCTGGCTTTCTCTGCCAATGGCCGTCCTGGCTCCCCGTATGACTCAAAAGCTACCGAGCTATGGGATCCTCACTGTGCATAGATGTTCAGCGTGTCTCACTTTGTAAGTGTCTCCAAGTGGAAACAGAGTTAGTGCTCAGAACAAAAGTGGCACTGTCTATAATGAAACTGTAAAGCCCATCGGCAAGGATAAAGATGGGAACATTGTCCAGGTATTAAGGAGGGCACATTCTTTCCTAGGGGAATTTAAAATTGTTGATCAAGATCCAGTTATCTGAAGCATCTTGGTTCCACTCATTCAGCCGCAGATTCAACAGCTGGCCTGCAATGAAAAATGCAGATCTTGTTTTTGCAGGTCTTAGAGGTATATGACAACTGCCATGTGACAATTGCTCACTTAAGTCCCTAAAAGGGTAGGTGGGAGGGGAATGCCAGGCTAGAGTTTTGGCAATGCACTTACCAAACGCTGCTTTAGTTTTAGGGATATTGAATAATTCTTCCCAAAGAACTCTGCACTTGGTGGCTATCCTGTTCCTGGTCCTCAGTCTGTTCACGGCGCTGCTGAGTTCTGGGTTTACCTTCTACAACAGCATCAGTAACCCTTATCAGACGTTCCTGGGACCGACAGGGGTGTACACCTGGAACGGGCTCGGCGGTGAGTGTCCCTGAATAGACTCGGGGCTCTGCAGAAAACCTCATCTTGCTTTTTCTCCCTCTCTCCTCTTCTCTCACACATAAGAACATGCACGGGCATGTTCACACCACAGAAACTGCGAGCACCTGTGACGTGCTGGGCCTTGTGCTGGGGGCCGAGGTTTGTTTTTGCCAATCCACAGCATTTATTAAGCATCTCTGGAAATAGAATTCTGTTTTAAATGCACGAGTGAGGAGGCTCGTGCATTTAAACAACATAAGCCAGCCTTTATTCCTGATAATGTATAGAGTCAAACCACACAAAAATCAATAAAATATTCACGGGGCTCCTGCAGCGTGCTCGACTCCAAACTAGGTTACCCGTGATGTATAGAAACATGCACATGTACACACACACATACACACACGAGCACACGCCTGCACCACTCATACGTGAGCACACCCACATATACACATGCACACACATGCACACACCTGTACACACACATACACCTCCATATAGCAAGAGTCAGCTTGAGCTCCCTACGTGAATGACACATCTGCATGATTGTGCCACAGAGCCACAAACAATGTCACTTGAGAGAATCTGGGGCCCACACCCTTCTTGTGGTCTACCTGCGAACCCAGGGTGTTGCTGGGTGGTGTTACTTGGTAATTTTGCTTGTTTCATGGGTGGGGTGTTGGGAGAGCATAGAACCTAGATGGGCAGTGGGTCCTAGCTTTTTCGCCAGGGCTCTGCAGTTGGACCTTTGGGCAAGAGCAGGGTTGATGGAGTAGGACCAGTGGGTTGCTTTGTTGCCCTGTGCCCCTTGCTAGGCGGCCAGGTTTCTCCTGCCCTTTCACCTTCTCCACTAGGAGAAACTTGCATCTTGAAAACAAAGCTCATCTCCCTTAGAGGTTGACACCTGAGATAGCTTTACCAAAGCTTCAGGTTATGCTTTCTAACACAGGCCAGAAGCAGGAAAGATGCTTTGGACACCGAAGTGTCAGGAAGGCTCAGAAGAGGTGCTGTCGGCAGCATTGTCCTGTCCTTTTGTGGAAGGCCATCCTTACCACAGGCCAGGCTTAGGTGGCAGGGAGAGGTCCTCGTCTCTCTGCCATGGCTGCCAGCTGTTGTGTGCTGGAGAACAGCGAACGTCCAGCTCTCCAATGGGAGGAAACAAAAAAAGAAAAAAGCTCTGATTTTAGCATTGGCGAATCCACCTGATGAAAACGCAGCTACGTGGCCATTTCAGGCTCCCAGTGTGAAGTCACTGACAGTGGAGTTGAGATAGATACATAGACCGACCCCAGCATGGCACAGTTAGAATGACGGATGCTTTTTAAAATGCAAGGGTAACTCTTATGCATTAACCCAGGACTACAGGTGGAAATTAAGCCTGTCCCAGGAAAATGTGGGTGTAGGGTCACATTACATACTCACACCGCAGCTCCAAGGATTTGAGGGGAAGCTGGTTTAGCCACACTCATCTATGACTGGCTCCTTCCTGTCCATCTGGTGGTAAAAACAAACAAATACCCCAATTTCATGAGCATTCACTGGGAGCCAAACACAACACTTCTGTAAAATCAATACTACTGCTTTCCCTTTTATAGCGAACTTGAGCATCAAAAGTTAAGAGACTTGGCTGTAAACTCAGACATACCCACTCGAATGCCTGGGTCCCTTGCCAAAGCTATCTTTTGGTTGAAGTTCACCCCAGTCAGCAAACCAAAGGCAAGCAAATTGACACTCACGCATTGCCGGTATCAAGAAATAGATTATTTTTATTTTTGCTCATATAATTAAGAAACTAAGGGAGGTAGTGGCTTCGGCATAGCTGGATCCAGGGTCTCGGCCCATATCATAAGGATTCTGTTACCCACCATCACTCCATCTCTTGATGTCCCTAGTGTTCTCTCTACTGTTAAACAGCCAGGTCAATCCTCTTAAAGGTAAGGTGACTGCCAGCCACCCCGGACTATCACTGATGACTGCAGCCAGAAGAGAAAAAACCTTCTTCCAAAAAATTAGGAGAAAGTACTTGGCTGATTTGCACTGGAATGATCCCACCCCTCGACCATGGCCAGCAGCGTTCAATTCACCTATCCGTTCACTGATTAACCAGAGACACCCGCCCACTCTGGATCAGGGTCTAGGGTGGGCCCTTACCCACCACGTGAATGAGTTGAGGAGCACAAGTGGTTTCCTAAGAGAAAAGCAGGCCCCAGTACCAGATTGGGAGTGTTCTGCTGGGTGTGGGCCAGCAGAACAGCACAGGCCCAGCATTGCCGTGGGTTCAGTGTCCACCACTGTTCTGCACAAGCCTGCAGCTTCCACATCTCTTTCCTCCACAACTGAGCATAGGCTGCCTTGGCACACAACCGAGGCCTGATGCATGTTTGTGGAAGAAAACATGAAAAAGAGAGACTAGGCAGGCTCCCTGCCCCGTTCTGCCTACTTCTGACAACAAAGAGTTGTTTGACAGGGAGAGAATGGCTGCCACATTCCTTTCTCAGCTCGGGGGCAAGTTCTAACACACAGGGGGTGTGAGGTGGGTAGAAAACTGATCTGAGAGACCGATATGGAAGAAGCAGATGGCATTCTGACCTAACAGGAGGCTTTTGTTGAGCTCTGGCTTCCTTGAAATGCCCCTTACAGTCTCTTGATCCGAATGCTTTGATAAGCCTGGCTTTCACCCTGAGTTGCTCTTCTGGGTCTCCTGATTTGCTTCACAAGAGCATTGAGAACTTAGTGAAAGTTCTCATTTCCAGGAGGCCCAGTCTACAGAAGGGCTGGTGCCTGGAGATGCCATTGAATCATCCTTGCCCTGGGTCCTTGCAGCTGGAGGATATGGTCAAGTTCATTTCTAGGAGTCCTGGAGCCAGAGCGAGCTGCAAGCCCCTTCAGGGCTGGGTTTACATAACCGCTCCTTGGCTGACGGACATTGGGTAGGGAAGGAAGTGGTTTCCCCAGTTTGTTTTCTGACAGAAAGGAGTAGATTCTGCTTTGAGGAGAAAAACAGCAGTATCACTTCCCAGTTCTTGTGCCCTCTGTCCCCAGTCTACCCTCTGCACCCCACTGGCCTAGTGTGACCGGACACTGGCCACAGAGGATATAACTGCAGACTGAGAGACAGTTGCAGCCAGAGAGAACTTAGCAGACCGTCCATCCCAATTACAGAGGTGCCTCAGCCAAGGAACCTAGAGAGAGCAGAAAATGATGCAGGAGGTTGCCCAGCCCAATGGTGACAGGCCGGGACAGACATCCCTGGCTTCTGGGATCTCTAGCTCCTGGTAAATCCATCTATCCCAGAAAACTGGAGAAACCAGGCTGTCAGAGGCAGCATAGAGTCCAGGGCTCTGGCCATCTCACCTCTAAAGCAAACCCGGATTAGCATTTTGGGGCTTTGTATTGGCCCCACCTGATTCAAATCAAAGCTCTGGGCAACCCACTCTAGAAAACCCTGTATCCATCCTGCCTCTTTATGATTAAGCTTTTATAAGGAACTTCCCAAGAGGAAAATGAAGGATAATAAAGGCTGTGAGGCGCCTGGAGTGCATCAGAGAAACGAGGCTTTTGTACGTACAAATTATTAAGAAATAAAACCATTACGTGGAGGATGAAGACTTGTCATCAAGGATGGTTAAAACATTCTTCTCATACAAAGCCCTTCTAATTAGGGCCTTTGAAGGGCCGTTTGAAAACTTCCCTGGATGTGGGTTACAGCAGGACACATTTGATGCCAAAATGTCCATTGAATTCTGGTACGAGTCAGCAGATGAGGAGTCCAGAAGGATTCCTGTCTCGTCCCAGGGATTCCCCTGAGGGCGCCACTTCAAACCCCGCTGGGCTGGCCTGCTCACCTGTCTCATCATCTGCATCCTTGTTTCCCCCCCAAAACTTTCTTATTGAGATATGAGTCATATACCATATAATTCACCCATTAAAGAGTGTAAGTCAATGGTTTTTAGTATGTTCTGAGACAGTCAATTTAAGAATATTTTCATATTCAAAAAGAAATTTCAGTCCCTGGCTCAGCCCAATTTCACTCTTTAGCACAAATCTACTTTTTTTTTTTTTTTTGTCTCTGCCTTATTCTCTTTGGAAAATAAGGAATGGGGCTCACAGAAGCTACTCAGTTCATTCAAGTGCACATGGCTGGGACCTCAAACCCTGCTCTTTTTGACTCTAGAAATACACTCTTCTTACTAGACCTCCATGACTTTCCAACGTCTATGTTATAGAATGTTCTCTAGTGGTGGATATTGTGAAGAGGAAAAAATATAAACAAATAAAACAAATTCTCTTCTAAAATGACTTTAGTAAGGATATCCTTCCTGGCTGGTTAAATGCTATGCCACCTGGTGTCCCATGGAGTGAAATTCAAGCTCCTGATTTGGCATCCATGGCTCTCCAGGAGAGATCCATCTCTCTCCACAGTGCTCAGTTCACATCTCTGCCAGTCCCAGGTGCTCTGGGCTCACTGCCCACCCTGGATCTTTGTTGAGGTTGTTCCTTCCATCTACAATGCTGTGTCCTTCCTTAGGCTTTCCAAGTCTTATTCATCCATCCACACCTTTCTAGATAGTTTCCTTATGGACTCCTGTGTTCACTCATTCATTCAGCACACCTAATACCTACAGATCCTAAGAAGTGGGCTATTTGGTAGATTCGTTGCACAGAAACTACTTCTGAAAGGCTTTGAGCCAGACACGATCAAATTGTACGCACACACAGCCCTGTACAAGCATCTTGTGCCTAGAAATCTAGCTTGTGTATTACATTTTCTTTTTTTTTTGAGTTGGAGTCTCACTCTGTCGCCCAGACAGGAGTGCAGTGGCCGCTCCCGGCCCCCACAGCCTCAACCTGCTGGGCTCCGGCGATCCTT